GAGCTCCAAGAACGCGTCTCGTACGTCTCGGTGACCCAAGACAAGGCCGCTGGCGAAGACTACGGCGACGTCAAAACCCCCGGCGAGCTCGAGGGCGGTGCCCTCCGCGCCGGTGGCGCGCCCGACTACATGAGCCGCGAAGTCATTGGTCTCCTCGCGCAGTACGTGGCTGTCGGTTTTGTTTACGGCACGCTGCCGTCGCTTCTGTATCCCGTCATCACGGGCTACTACCACATGACCGGTGCGCAGTACAATTCGGCTAAGACGCTTCTTGGCATTGGCTGGTCGCTCAAGGCCTTCATCGGCATGATCTCGGACTGCTTGCCTATCAAGGGCTACCGCCGCAAGTCGTGGATGATGATCGGCTGGACGTGCTGCCTCTGCTTCCTCCTCGTCATCACCTTTATCGACAAGGACCGCCCGTACTACAGCGATCACAGTGTCTCCAAGATCCCGGCGTTTGAGCGCTCGGACGCGCAGAACGCGACGGTCAACTACAACGCCAAGGACAAGGGCGGTGTGATGGCCATTCTCTTTGGCCTCGCGACGATCTCGTACCTCTTTGCCGATGTCCCGGCGGACGCTTTGGTCGTCGAGTACGCCCAGCGTGAGCCGATCGCGACGCGTGGCCGTATGCAGTCGCTTGTTTACGCCACGCGCACCGTCTGCACCACCGTAGTTGGCGGGTTGGTGGGCTTTTGCATGAACTCGCCTCGTTTCGCCGGCTCGTACACGTGGGACTTTGGCCTCAACACGATGTACATCATCCTTTGCGTGCCGTGTATCGCGATGCTTCCGATCACGTACTTCTTTATCAAGGACCACAAGCACCAAGCCGCACCGTTTTCCGAGTACCTCGCGCAGGTGTGGCAGCTCGTCCAGAAGCGCGCCATGTGGCAGATCATGCTCTTCAACTTCTTCTACAACCTCTTTGGCGGCGGCTTTTCGTCGACGGCCGCGCCGTACGTGCAGCTCTACTGGGCCAAGGTCGAGAATCTCAACAGCCAGCTTATGAGCATCGTCTCCAACCTTATTTTTGCGGCGATCATCACGGCCATCGGCAAGTGGGGCACCAACTGGAACTGGCGCATCGTCATCGTCTCGACTACCTTGTCTACGATCGCGATCGACATGATAGTGCAGTTCTGCACGTTTTACAACGTCGTTCGCAACCAGTGGTTCTACCTCGGGGTGCCCATCGTCGAGATGCTGCCGCAGGGCGTCCTCTTCATCGTCACGACGTTCGTCATTGTCGAGCTCGCTGAAGTCGGCAACGAAGGTATCGTGTACGGTCTCCTCACGACGGTCTCGAACCTCCCGTCGGCTGTCGGCCCGGTGCTGGCCAACCAAATCTACCGCAACTTTGACGTCGACGAAGACTCGATCCTCTCGGACACCAAGCACGTGCGCAACCAAGTCACGTACACGTACCTCATCTACTATTCGGGCTTCCTCATCGCCTGCTGCACGGCGGTCTTCCTCCCAAAGCAAAAGCTCCAGCTCCACGAGCTCCAGCGCAACGGCGGCAGCTACCCGGTCGTCGGTGGTGCGGTCCTCATCTTCTGCTTTTGCATGCTCGTCTACTCGATCACGTGCAGCATCCTCTCCATGTTTGAGTCGACGTCGTGCTTG